TCTGAAGGGTATGCCCCCAACGACTGGAAATGCTCGATAGTGTGACCGTCTCCCAACGGTGATGATCCGAGTAAAGTAGAGAACTATAGACCGATCTGTTTGACTTCGATATTGTCCATAGCTCTCGAGAAGGTTGTTAAAAAGTGTCTGATGCTTTTCTTCGAGTCAACGGACGTATTGACGGCCGGCGCAACACGGCTTCACCAAAACGCGATCCTGAATCTCCAAGTTGATGTATACAAACCACTAGTGGGTGAGAGCTCTCAACGAGAGGAAGGTTGTTGACGTGGTGTACATCGACTTTAGTAAGGCCGTTGGCAGTGAAAAACGCGGTATGCCTTCGTAAACTGATAAACTAAGGAATCGGTGACACGCTAATTCATCGGTTACGAGAATTTATTGTGAGACGGAAGGTTAGAGTACAGGACAAGGACAACCTGACAGACTGGTTCCCATGGACCGGTGACGTGCCTCAAGGAACTGCATTTCGGCCAGTGTTATTTCTTTTTCATATCAACGATCTTCAGCAGCAACCCCTGTCACTATGTGCCCTGTTTGCAGACGATTTGGAAAGTTGGAGGGTCACTGGAACCAGACGATTGCGCTTGCCTCCAGTATGACTTAGATCGTCTGTCTACGTGGTCCACTGAAATGCAACTCCCTCTTAGCTCCAGGAAGTCGGAGTTTATCAGTATCACCCGATGTGCAGCCACTCAATTATACATCTTGGACGGCCAGTTGCTCCACCCTAACACGTCTGTCAGAGACAGGAGTGCTCCCGCGACATGATATGAGATCACTAGAAAATACAGCGAGATTGTGACGTCCTGGACTTCGTACGCTCTGGGTATTACGACCCAGTTTCTCCACATGGTCTGAAGTAAGCGTCCCTCGCTTATTCACTTCGCTCATCAGACCAATCCTTGTATACCGGGCCCCAGTTTTCCATCTGATAACGAAGGCGGAAACGGAAAAGCTAGAGAAATTACGGCCCATCGCAACTATAATGACACCCAGTCTACGAAGGCTTCAGCATTAAAAACGTTGTGAAATGTTCGGACTCTACACACTATCGTACTGCCGAGTAAGAATTGGTCTTGTTATGACCCATCGAATACTACAGTTGAATCACTTCCCCATACTGCGCCAATATTTCACCTGCGGAAACCCTGTAACACCCGAGGACACCGGTACAAACTCAGGGTCCCATGTATGAGCATGGTATAGAACGAAGAATCGTAAACTTATGGAATACACTACCAGAAGGACTAATAGAGACTGATTCTGTGAAGCGTTTCAGAACACGTATCGCCGATTATTTTGGAAAGCTGTGCTTTTGTGAAACGGCGTAGATACAATGCAAAATACGCATCATATGCCCGGAAATAATGACACCAATACGAATTCCTAACAGAACAAGGATAAACGATTTACTGACCAAATATTTCGCTGACAATCCGCAATTAAATTATTTTCGATTTTTCATAATTCGATAGAGTTGTACAGAAACTTTTCTACGCTCCTGATTTAGTCTCAATCTCATAAAATCGTATGACGTAGAAATATTCCGTGGTACCTCAGGAAGATCCTGTAGGTCTACCCTGCAAGAGCGAGTGAACAATGTGTCTTCTGGAGCGAAGTGTGTCTCTGAGGCACGAGACGGCGTGACGTCCCAGCACTGCCAGAACATGCGCGATCATGTGAGGAGGCATTAGGCTCGCGTTGTACTTATTTCGCTGACATAAATGTAGGCAATTTGTACTGGTGTTTTCGCTGCTATGTATCGCGCAGTCATTGTTTCGACACTCAAGTATAAATGGTGGTGTTCAGACTAATAGCTGTCGCAAAGATTTCTCACATGTTTCTGCGTTAGGCGTTGCGAAACAACCAGAGGGTATCCAGATGATTCCTGGAAATCGGAACTAAAGTGCTGCTAATGATGATAGTTGATGTGTTGTTAAGTACGCGACAAATTGATGGAGGGAGAATGGCACGTAGTTAGTGTTGCGAAGAGGATTACCGTGCGTAGAAAAGGAGTAGGTTAAGCAGACTACTGCAGGTTGCTTGTGGGTGCATAATGCAATAGATTACATATAGCTGCGTGAGGATAGGTAATGTGAGATGCGCTAAGGCAAAGCACCGTATATAAGCCACTGATTCATCTCAGGATGCGAAATAACTGTTTGTTGCCTATTGTCAAGCATATCAGAGGGTTATGCAGTCGACTGTTCTCGCTTCTGCGCATAAGTCGTGCCCATGTAGGCGGTGCATCCTGAGTCGTCTGTTAACTGCAAGTGGTACAGCGTTCAAGAGAATACGAACCGCTCAAGCAACCAAGGTAGACGGCATCGCGACTGCCTACACATTTACCACCAAGAGACACCATTTATCTCTCAAATGCAACCACCCGATGGTAACGGCAGTGCCTCCCCTTTTCTTTGCGCTGAATAGTATGTGATACCGCGTTCGGCTTAGGGTGCACAGAGTTTCTGTTGCTTACGAGTTTCGTAACAAGATTGCCACAGTCGTATTTCGGCATTAGCCCTCTCCGAAGTGCGTCGCTCACGTCGTTTCTCTTTTACCCAAGCCGGCCAAGTACCGATTCACATTTACTCGCAAGTTGCGCAGGCCTCTTTTGTCGCTTTACCCGCAAGTCATTATGATATTTTGGCACCACAGGCCCCGATCCATCGCAATCATGCATCTGTGACTGCCTTGGTATTCGGACACACCGAAACATGTGCGTTGGTAGGTCGTCATAATCCCTAGTCTGCGCAACTTGTAGGCTCAAACACACTGCCAAACAATCCTTAAGATCGCTAATCGAGTGTCGCATTGAAGTGCCAGACGCCCCCCCCCCCACTGGTGCCGTGTCAGTGTGAATCAGATGTTCAAGGCAAGAATGCACATTGGTGGGTGCATTTTCAGCCATAAAATTCCAAAATGTGGAGCACAGCCAATTCTGAACTATTCACAGACAGGCGAAACGTAAGCCCATGTATGTGAACATGTGCTTTGAGCTCTCTTCTGACTGGGAAGTGGTTTGGCGATAGGAACTATGTTCCGAGATATAACGGATCTCTTTGAGTGTCCCCTATGTTAGGTTTTCATAGGAATTATTATCAGTAGAAAAGTAAACTTTGAAATTGGCTGCATTGATATCAGTATTTCAGTTGGTAATTGGAACGCTTACTAACTAAACCCGGAAAAAGCAGTGGGGAGGTAATTCAATGGGGTAGAAGATATGCAGTGAAAAACCAAGGAATAAAACTATGGAATAGTGGGGAAGTGCCCAAACTTTGAATGTGTAGTAACAGAATCCTAGTTATCGTAGCCATTTCGAAATTTATACGGTGAACTATAGCCCAGATAGACTCATAAGCACCTTGCCACCACCTCACATCAATGAGGAGCTGAGGACATTCTATGACAGGAATTGTTGGTAGCGAACATTTGTGTGCAAATCGAAGGAGACATTGTTTTACCGGTGGTAAAAACGAAATGCAAAGGAATTTCATTGTTTACTTGGACAAACTGTAGGTCAGCTGGAGACCAAAAGTGACTTAGATAAGTTTGAAAGCTTATGAGTACATCCGCAAACACTATTTGTGACGGTTAAACATCGCAAGGTAACAATTGGCGGGTACTAAAAATATGTTAATGCACTCAACGGGTCATTAATGGGCAATTGTTGCAGTTTAACTGGGAAATCGGGCTCATAGGAAATGAGGAGAAGATACGATATTTCCTTCAGCCGTCTATAGGTGAAATCAGCTTTTACTACTTGTAATAACCATCCGCATCTTATTATCAACTACCGGGTAAAAATAAAATTCGTCTTGTAATATTAAATATTTCTCTTACTTTTCCGAGAGCAATATCATAGAAGGACATAGCAATTCTCAGTACTCCACCGTACCAAATACTGTATTTTCCGAACACAGGCAACTGTCAGATAAAGCTGGAAAATTTTTCAGAACTGCTTCGCATATCGATGATCCGAGCAGCCACCTAGTAGGATAATCCCCCCGCAGAATTTGATCGGGAAATCTGTCCCCTTTTCTTGGCGGTATTTAGATACCACAATTACTTATTTATCTCTATTACTGTAATTAACTTTCCACCACCTCGTATATTATATCCTTTTTACTCCATTGTTGGCCACGACTGGGTCGATCTCCTGAGGTGACGGATTAAAGCTTCCAAACTAATAGATGAACACATGCGATGTAAGATGCCATAGACTCCCTAACAAATAATACAAGTGCCTGACTCAGAAAAAACGATTGATGGTAAGGGCTATATGGCCTAAACGTCCATATACATACAATTAAAAAGCGTCCTAAACATGAGTACAATTGGTGATGGCTGACCTGCTTTAAAGCCACACCAACATACGGTCAGAACATACATAGAAGTGCGGGGAAACCTTTCGTTGGACTAGCCTGCATTGAAGCACGTCCCCTGGAGACGAATCCATCGTTGACCGTATAACTTTACTAGAACATGTAGATTTACCTGCATTTGTTGAAATTAGCAACCACTCCATCTATTTGAAAGAGGTAACCCATCAATTAACCCCGCAAAATAGTGTGGGAACTGCTCTGAAAAAAGAACTCGAAGGAATATTATCCTTCCCATGCGATTCCGTTGTACAAATGGACCAATCCAATCAGTTGGACTGTACCTCACACCATCGAGGAATACACTCTTTATTTATTTATTTATGCATGCGTGCATGCATGCTTGAATCCTGCAACAACTCGCAACAAAGCTTTGAAGCTGCTAGCAATCTAAGGGCTTATCGGGCCCTTGTCATCACGGAACAGAAAAGGATGACTAAGGAATAAAGCGTAACATAGCAGTGGCCACAGCTTGTTTGCAGTTGTCCAACTATCTATGTTGTGTCCTAACGATATGCAACATCGATCAAAAGTTTATCAGGTTACGGATCCTACAGAAAATTACTGCGTCTAGAAACTGAGGAGAGCACAGCTTACCGTTTTATATCCCCCACTATCCAGTTCTGAGGTAAAAATTACTTCTAAACGTTTGCGTCTCCCCACTTCATTTTCCAGTTGTTGTTCTAACTGCTTGACTCGCTTGAGTAGCTCTACTGCACTTCGTCCAAGTTTATTCTTTATGGCTGTCGTATACAACACTTTGGATTCTAGTATCTTCAGCCGTTCGTCTGCAGCTTTTCGTGCCTGAACAGCACTGCACAGCGTTTCACTAATGTGAAAAAATGAAGAATGGATTAATGGCAGGCAGGCGAATGCATGCAGTAGTTAATGATGCTGTTACTACTACTGTACGAGCGCGTCACTGCAATAAAACGCTAAATAAAAAAATATCGTTCTAGCTTAACCACTAAAGATGGAGTAAATGCGAATGTAAGTTGTAACAGAAATGCTAAGCAGACATTTCACCTCGAGGTGCCTACAACCCGCGAATAAAGTCGGTGCCAAACGGCTACTGTAACAGCGTGGTCATTAAAAGACAAATTCTTACTCCGGTTGTTGCTCTGATTTCCAATAAGCTCTACCAGGCCGACAAACTGGCGTCACATTCACCCGAAACAGATAGTGCGGTAAGAGATTTTAACAGGTACACAGATGGCATCGCTTACGTCACCTGTCTTATGACGTCAGTATCTGACATGGTTTATAGTTATTATGCCTCATCTGTAATCAATTTTCGATAAAAGTGTGCACTTACTTGATCATGCCGTTACAATGAACAATGAATTTATACTGTCTAAGAGGCACTGCTTTACAAGTCTCGTCGGCTAGTTTAGTGGGGTCAATGCAAATATAATAATAAACAGTTACTACGTTAAGTATGAAAGGAAGTTTTTGTCTGTTCCGCCGTAGTCCGGCAACCAACGTAGTTTCACAGCTTTCACAGGTAACAGCAAATAAATCCAAGGTATCTTCCAGGAGTAGGATGGAGGTATAGTGCTAAGTAGCAAAGTGTAAGTGGATGAGAGCGCCATCCAACCGTCTTTTAAATATTGTTAGTGTCGGTGCAGAGACGATTGATTCTGGGAGCGAATTCCACAGATGATACAGGAAAGGAAAATAAATTCCTGCGGCACTGCAGACGCTATGCTGCTCTGCTGGTTTCAGTGAGTGACCTTCCAGATTTGTCTTGCTGTTGGGTTTCAGTAAAAGGCGACACACATCATGTGGATCGTGAAGAAGCAAGTAGGCAGCTATCAGATTGCCTCGTAATTTACAATACCGTCCGCTGAATTTCCCCAATTGTTTCAGCCTCTGCTCGTATTGGAGAGTGCGCATTCCATTGACATATTTGGATGCCCGACCTTGAGGCTGGTCAAGTGCATTAAGGTCGTGGTTTAACCATGGATGCCAGGTTTGAATGACGTATTCGACCTGGGGGCGAATATATGCTCTGAGCATCTGCCGAAAAATAGTGATGTCAGTTTGTCCGAACTCCCGTCGCAACATTCCAACGTGCTGGTTTCCAGCCTTCGAGACCTTTTCAGATAGCCTAGAGCAACCCAAGGCATCTTGAGCCAGCACACCCAACTCACATTGGATGGACGTTTGCTGCAGTACATGCGTTCCGAGCCTGTATGAGTGGTTGATGTGGTGTCATATGGAGTGTATCTTGCAGGTACTTATGATGAAAGGCGGTGAATATTTGACTGATCACCGATGTACCGTGTTCATGTCACTTTGAAGCAATTACTTGTCAGCATTCACCCGAATCATGCACCAAACCTTGATGTCATCGGCAAACAGTGGGAAGTTCGAAGCGATTGCCTAAGCGAGGTCACTACTAAACACCAAAAACAATCGTGGACCCAAAACTGAACGTTGCGGGACACCACACTCGACTTGTGTGGGATCAGATAAAAAGCTCCGAACTCTGAGCAATAATTGTCGTTGAAGGCGAAAGTTGGCGATCCAGCTCAGAAGAGAGTCACCGAACCTGCAATACTGGAGTTTGGAAAGGAGTATCGGATGATCCATACGATGGAATGCCTTCGAACAATCCAGTTGAATCACAGCAACGTCATCAACGTCAGCTGACTCGGTCCAATTGCTTCGTGCGATTAGCAAATTCGTTGTGCAAGATCGCTGGTGACGGAAGCTGTGCTTTTCGGGAGCATTAATGTCACAGGTTTAGATATAGCACACCAGCGTATCGGCAACGACGGATTCCATGACCTTGGAGTGTATAGGGGGAATGGATACTGGACAGTAGTTGGAAGGATCAGTTCTGCTTCCACCTTTATAAATCGGAGTTTTTGTCCTAAGTTTCCACATACCAGGAACCTGGTTCTCGTCTAAGCAGCACAGAAAAAACTGGGCCTATAGTTCTGTTAGTTGTCTTGATGCTGCTCTCAGTGATAAATGGGGACAACACCCGGGGAGCTGTGGTTGCGCAGAGACGTCAAGTTCTGCAATACAGCTTCAGAGGTAAAAGCGATGTGGGTGAGGTGAGTATATGCGATGCGACAAAAATACTTGGATGATTACTTGGTGGCCAAACCCTCTGAAACTATGGAGCGTATTGCATCTGCAGAGCATTTGCTGCTTCTGTATTTGTTCTTGTTGGGTCATCAGCCGTCCGGAGTGAAGTTCTTGTCTCACCTACCGTAAGCCATTGAGGACTTGTACAGCGATTTCTGGTTAGCGCCTGGAAATGAGCTGATTACTGGTTGGTTCTGCGGAGCTGTAGGCCTCCGGGCGAGTCCCCAGGTTGCAGATCGTGGAACGCCCTCTTTGTGAAAGTAACTGCGAATAAGCCTCGGATATTCGCAGAAAAGATGAATAGGCAGTCGCGGACAATCAGCGGCGGCGTTCTAGAGCGTGGCAGGTACTGGGCTGGTCAACTGGTTCCTCAATTAATACTACAAGTGCTCGAAGACGCTGTGTCAAAGCCAATGCGACCGATTATAGGGTCACTGACCACTCACTTCTGGTCACGAAACTTAGTAGTTAACGGAGGGCGGATGAACAACCTTGATGGCTACCGGCTTCTAAGAAGGCGTATGAGCTACCCGGCTGTCAACGGCCTACGTGCTTCGCGGTGAGCTCGGTAGTCCTTACTGCTTAACTGGGTTTCTTTGGACTTCCTGAGTAGTTTGCCTCTACTCAAAAGCACTTCATCTAGAGAGCCGGCTCCCAACGGTCGCGGTATAAGTCAATCGCCTCGCTGCCTTGCGGGTTAGGTCTTTATGACCCAAGACACCGGGTGGAGTCCCCTAACTTAACCTTCTTCCACGGCCTGGGCAACCGGAAAGTACTAAGCCCCCACAACCTATGGATCCATGTCCTTCACTCTTGAAAACTGCTTTCGTCGGCCGAGGTGATGGCGGCTGAACCTTCCAAATCCACCTTTTACTAAACCACCGCTTAGTCACTTTATTCCAAGTTTGTTTAACCCCATTCTTGGTCTTCCCCTTCCGTTTCCGAGTACACAACCTCGTGCAGCCTTGGGCGAACGTTCTCGCTATGCGGATCAGGAACCTTGGTCCGAAGATGCGCCAAGTCGTTTTGACACGCCATTTCTAGCGTCCCGTTCCTAATTCGAGCTGGTAACCTTCAATGTTCGGACGCTGATGCAGGTTGAATAACAGACATCGCCTGCTCGCACTCTAGAAACCACGGTCATGGATGCCTGCTGTCTCAGCGAGACCCGTTTACTGGACTCTAGCAAGACGCTGCGACTAGTTTCACCGGCTGCGAATTCCACTGGCATTTTCACTTTGCGCCTAGCTGGGGACTCAACCGCCGAAGCTGCTGGTTATGCTGGCGTAGGGATTGGGTTGAGACTGGATCCCTGTTAACAGTCGACTATGCGCTGTCCGACTTGAAACTTCAATGTGACCGCCCAGGCGCGAAGCCAGCAGACGCTGTCTATTCACTGTCGCAGCGCACAGTCCCACAGATTGCAGCCCGGAGTCAGTTAGAGATGAGTTCTATGGTCAACTGACCGACCTTCTCCGTAAAAAGTGACGCACTGACATAGTGGTGTTCTCCGGGGACTCGAACCTGCAGGTCGGAAGACTTGAAGTTTACGAACGTGAACTCGGTTGTCAACACGACCATGGCACTCATAGAACTGACAACGGTGATCGACTACTTTAGCTTTGCCCCGATCACGGCCTCTTTCTGTCGAGTACTAGCTTTCAGGGATCCCGGTGTCAACGCGTCATATGGAGACCCCCATCAACTGGCCAGCCGTAGACACAAATTGACCACATCGGCATTAGCTATCGCTGGCGAGGTAGCATACAGGATTTCAAACCAATCTGGAGTATTTATCACACCGGATCACGCTCTGGCGTGTGCTAATATTGCGCAACGTTTTGGTGGCTCCCGGAAGCGTTTCCAGAAACGGCTTGATGTAGCTAATTTTTCTGCCGAAAATGTTCCGCATGCATTTAGGATGGCTTGACCTCACGGATAAAAACTGCCTCACGCACGGACATTGAAACACACTGGAGGCAAATCCGCGGCGCTATGTACAACTCTGCGAACCTGGTCTGTGGTTTCAGCAGTAGTCCTGTTAACCACTGGATCTCTGTACGACCCCTACAACTTCTGGAAGCCCGTCGAGTGATTCCTGCTAGCGTTAACTACCATTCACTACGCAAGACTGCTAACGCTGAGTTCAAACAGCTTCTCCGGGAAGATCGCGAGGCCTGGTAGACGCAGCAGGCCATTGAGATGGAGCAAGCGGCCACGTCGGGGAATTTTTGTGAGTTTTTCCTCCTGATCCGATCTACTGCCGGAAAATGGCCGACCGTAAGCGAGGTTATATGCAACACCGATGGCGAGCCAATCTACTGTCAGAAACGCCGACTCGAGCGTTGGGCCGACCACTTTTAGCAGCAGTTTTATGGGCCAGCAACACCAATGAGCTCCCATTCTGCAGCCTAGAGCGCTCCCTCGTGTCTAGACGCTTCACCACCATCTTAAAACACTACAAAGCTTCCGGCCCAGACGAACTCCCTCCGGCATTTTTCAATGATGTCAGCCCATCACTTGTTCAGGAGTTAACTTTTCCAAGATATCTTGGTCACTGAAGTTATCCCATCTGATTGAAGCCTAGCGGATATCATGCCCTTCTTCAAAAAGGGTACCCGAACTGACCGCGCCAACCACAGAGGGATTAGTCTCATCTATGTTGCTTCCAACGGTGCCCGAAGCTCTGCTTCTAAGGAGGCCCAGCTTGGTACTCGAACAGAACATAGG